CATTCATTACTCAGTAAAAATTTATCTGTTTTCATTTTAATCACAAAGCAATACCTTTCTTCTTTACTGTTACTATCTTTCATCTCAGAAACTTAAAATGTTTTAAGAAAGACACGGTAGTATTACCCATAATGAAGAAAAGAGAAAGGAGGTGGAGATGGGCTTACTCTATTTCAGACTGTCTCCCTCAAGGCCTGATGCAGAGGTTAGAGAACTCCAGTCTCAACCTCTCAGAAGTGGTGCAAGGCCCATTGTGGGTTAGTATTCAGGTTTCAGTAAAGTTTCTCTTAAGTTTATTTTTCTATAAAGCCAAATACAAATCAGTCTTTAATAAAGGCATTATGTTTTTCAAATGTGGATTTTTAAACAGTGATGTGAGAACTGTGGTAATAATGGTAGGTACACATTAAGGGGAAAAAATGTGTGGGAAAAATACATGGGAAAAAATAAATAGGTAATAGTGTGCCCAGTGATCTCCAAATCAAAGTCGTCCACTGAGAAATGATCATTATGTTTCATGAAATAAAGATGAACAGAAACTCTGAAGTAGATGCAAATTGTATGCTGAGTCATTTGAAACTTTTGAAATATAGGTCATTTGCAATTGTGAAGGGGTTTGTTTCTAAAATTTCTTTGTAAATCATTTATTTAGAACTCAGAAGGAATTTCCTCACAGAAGCTATACTATTCATGATGTCTTGGTGGTTGGGTTTCAGAACAAGACCACAGAAACCTGCTATGTCCCAAAGAGACCTAAAATGTGGTACAACCTACAGCCTTCTCCTTTGCCATTAGAGCAAACACACAATGCTCTGAGGCTTCTTACATCGTTACTACAGGAGACAGTGGAAAGCTGCATATGAAGAAACTGGTTGCCAGGGTCAAAATGGGACTTTGTGTCAGAAATATCTATTATCTATTATGAAGGTCAGTGCCCCGTCAGGAAGGTCATTGTCTCAGGTCCCACACAGGCCTGTTTTCTGCGTAATGGTTCTCACCCAAAATGCAAGAAAGTTAAACTCAGGAGATTCCCAAGCATGTGCACCTGGAAAAAGCCATCCACATGATAATGGTATCTGCATTCCCTCCTCCTCCCAAACCTTTAAAATACTATATGACTCATTGGAGTTCTTTTTTCTATGTGGCCTATCTTTGATAATATATTAATTATTATTATTATTATGTTCAGTTAGCCAACATATAGTACACCATTAGTTTTTGATGTAGTATTATTAATTATCGATAATTACAAATTGTCAATAATATATCAATGATCGGCATCGATTAATATTCTTAATTATTAGTTATATTTAATTATTAATAATGTACAAACTTTTGTTAACAATCTAGCTACATTTTGTTGGGCACCTATACATCCCAAACACTTTAACTCACCTTACTTCTCATCCTCACAACTCTGCAAAAGGAAAATTTATTATTCCCACAGTACAGAGGAGGAAACTGATATTCAGGCAGATTAAAACTATAACCTTAGTCATTCAGCTCTAAACTGATTGAGTTAGGATTTCAATTTAAGTCCTCTGCACTTAACCACTATACTTTCATTAATTAACCAGTTCATTCATTCAACAATTGTTTGTAGAGTACCTACTATGTGGCATGCAGGATTCAGAGGGAGTTCTAACTTTAAGAGGCAAATGTGCTTTGAGGAATTTAATCTAGGCAGAAGCAGAGGAGAGTGGATCAGGGGAGAGAAAGAAGCACAAAAAAATAAAGGAATATAGGATGGAGGAAGAAGAATAGAATAAAGGTCAATAGATTTACATTATGATTTAGGAGGATCAAACTACAAGGACAATTTTAAGTTTATATATTGTATATATGAAATAGTTATGTAGTATGTATCATATAGTTATATGTTATTATAATATAGTTTATTATATTATTATGTAGTTTATTTTCATTATTTATTATTATAGTTTATTTATTATAACTATTATATATAGCTAGAGAGAGACACACTTTCATTTTCTGATGACAAATCCCATACCAAATAATAGATTTTTACAACTGAGCTCTCCACTTGCTTTGAATCATAAAAGCCACTTCTCGGACAGGCATTAACCAGAAAGGTATGATATTGTGTTTACCCTACTTCATGTTTTTTGAAGATGTGAAGAGTAGGCTGCTAGTCATGTAAATATAGAGTGCTATAAAAGTAATATATTAATGTGAGATAAAAAGTTGAACTTCTAACTAAAAATGGGATATAAAGGGTATAAAGGAAAATGTTCTACATGGGATTTTTTTTTTCAGATTTTAATGTGATAGTGGTATACAAATGGAAGTTGCATGAGGAAGAAAAATATTTTTGCCAATATAGGACCAAGTTTAGGAAGATCTGTGGCTGAGAAATATGCACCACTTTGGAGAAGACAGAAAAATAGCCTCCTATTATATTGTGTGATAATACATGGTGTGACAGTACTCAGGAAACAAAACCAGACCAGTAGCCGTGGAACTAGGGATAGAAACATTTTTTATCTACTTGTCAGTTATTAAGAAGAATCTGGTGAATATTTATAGATAATTAGGGGTACTCCGGGATGTATGATGAATATCACATCACTAGTATTTGCTGGCACCATGATATTTCTACATCCCTTGTTTTAAGAGTTCTCAAGTGTGCAACACTGGTCTTTGTAGTAGCAAGTTTTTCCAGGTATGCTGATGTGAGCTCTGGCCAGGTGAATGGTAATTACCTGCCTGCACGTCCTCCACCCCGAACCCCCCATCCCAGACCTTTGTGTCCTAACATTTCCAACATAAAATTTATATATGTATTAAGTCTGTTACGGTTCCGGAGAGTCAATTTACAACATCCATTTCTCCCTGCCTGGGTTTTGAAACAAGTAAGATAGAGGAATAGAAAGAAAGAAAAATACTAGCTCTGTTACTGATGAAGCAAATACAGATCTCGGCTTATGTGTGAAGTATCCCAATGCTTAGGCATTGGTCTCCTCATCTGCATCCTGGTATTAGACAGACTCATCCAAATAGTCACAGGCAGATCTGCAGAACCACAGGTCCTGCCCTGCAGGCTTTTACTTCCAAGCTTAACCACATGGCCAGTAGCAGACCTGAGTATCTGCTCTGCACTAAGAGATGGATCCCAAAATGTGATAAGAAGGGGCTGGCAAAGCAAGCCCAGTTCCTACTCTCGAACTGACGAGTGAGGCACAAATGAGGGTAAGGAGAAGTCAGGAAGGTTATCCTATTGGATATTACTCCAAATGGAAGAAAACACCAGGACTAGGAATTAGTAACTCCTCAAATAAAAGCAACATGAATAGCAGTTAATCATAGACATAGTGATGGATCAAGGCACGAACAATGCTAATCTTCCTACTTATTCAGAAACCATTTACTGAATATCTACTTTCTGAAAAGCGCTAAGCTAGCATCTGAAATGCAAATCATAGAAAACATAGCATCTAATCTCCAGTAGTTCTCATTCTATAATCCCGCAACATATATAAAAGAGAATTTTAAAAATAATTTGCAATATTCACAAATTAGAGATTTACAATAGATTCAGAATCTTTGAATTTTATTTATATTATAAAATCATCAAGATAACCTCTGTATCCTTTTATAGACAAAATATAGTCTTGAGAAACAATAGACTACTTTAACTTCAATCAACTTCAATAATTCAATTCTTATCAGATGTGTTACATTCTCAATTCTTTCAAGACTAAAACTTCCAAATTTTTGTCTTTATAATAATCCAGATTTTGTTTTTTTGCCTTCTAACTATGTGATGCCTCTCTATCAATGCCTATACTCCATTTATTTAACATAAATACTTTTAAGAGTTCCATAAAAGTGAAGAAGAATCGTATTTTGTTCCATTATTCTCTCCAAGATGGACTTCATTAGAACATGATTCTTTGGGTCTTTGCCAAGCAACTGAGATATAGATAAAGCAGTATAACAAGAACCTTCTGGTTCTTTTAGTAACAAGCACCAATCAATGGGATTATGCTAAATTTCATGCTGTAGCAGGTCATATTTTATCAAGGTTTTACTGCATTTACCATGAACAATAGCCCACTATATAGATCCTTTTATTAGATCTCATAGTAGTGCTGTAAGCCTGGAAACTTTCCACCACAACACTTTTACTGTAAATGTTGAAAATATTAATATATTAGAAAAGCAAAATAAGATTATTTTCATGTAACTTCTAAAATATGTTGAAAGCGTATATTCTTTAAAAAATGTTTACTGTTTTACAAATGAATATTTGTACATATAATAGAAAGGAAAATGGCTATTTGTTCAGTGTTGCCTAAGAGTTTAGGGCCTTACATACATTATCTCATATACCTCCTGACAGACCTGTGAAATAGATATTATCATCTCTGTCTCATACCTGAAGAAATGAACATAAGGGAAATAAAATTTAGCCAAAACTGAAGTGCTTAAGTAATTGTTCAAATAACAGTTAATAAATATGAGCAATGCTGCATATGAACAAGGGTCTGGAGAACTCCAGGTCCACACTCTTAAAATATCCTTCCTCTAAAAATCCAACTGAATGAGCATACATATCCATATAAAGTTTCTCACATACTGTTCACTGCCAATAAAAATAAATACAATACGTAATATGTTTGTATAACGTACACTGTATTATCTATTCACATATAAAAACAAGCATATATAAATTATAGACACACTTACCTTATTTATAGACATGCTTCAAGATGGATTTGAAACTATGCATTTCTCTATAAATTAAATACTCAGATTATACTAGATGCCTACTTGTTGCATATAAATCCAAGCACTCACTGCTAAAGAAAAGCCTAATACTTCATATATTTACACCAGCGAGCCCAAAGCAGACTTGAAATTATACCATAATACATATATACACACATATATAAACAAATATACACTAATATGTATGTCTCCTATTTGGCTCCTATATTAACATGAATGACGAATTAAATAAATTGATCAAACCTTACCATGAAGTTGAGTCTGCAGGAAATGGCATGTGCTGTGAAGACATAAATTTTATATTCCTTTAAAATATGAATTATGAAATGAATACACAGTATAGTTTGTTTTTGTTTTACTTTTAACTCCCAACTGAAAAGCCAACATATTTTGCGTGTCTAAACAGTTTCCAGGTGATGCTCATGGTGCTGGCTCAGGGACATAGTTTGTGAAATACTCTTAAGAAACTCAAATGTTTAACATCAAACCTTGGCCTCTCCCCTTAAACTTCACTGGGCAGATCAAAGCTCTAATTATCAACTGTTCTGCAAGGATGTGAATACATGAGGACTGTCCTCAGCAGCAAGTAGTTTAAGCAAAGTTGTTCTCAAGAATCCTAATATATTACCTGAGGAGCTTCTAAAAATCCCAAGGGTTACTCAGGCCCCATCCAATAGTAATTAAATTGAAACCTCTGGGTGTGGAACTCAAGCACTAGTAATTCTAAAGCACCCCAAGTGATTCCAGGGTGCAGCCAAATTTGAAAATAATCGATAGTGAGAAAAATTCAGCAATGTCCATGCCAAGTGGCAAGCAGCTGCCTGCCTTCTGCAGAGTTTAAGAATGTGAAGATTGTCAATCTTAGGTCACTTCCCATATATTGTTTTTCTATCAAATGTATAAAATTTTATAGTTATTTATAACTGTATCATCAATAAGAAGTGTTTTAACTTTTATAAATATAAAATATTTATAATATAATTATGGTTTCTCTCTGAATCTCTCTCTCTGTCTCTCCCTCTCTCTTCATTTTTGCACATTTCTTTGATCCCCCAATATAGCCGAGAACTATGGATTGTGTTCTATATGTCAGGATGATACCATGGGTAAGTTGGAAAGTGGTGTGTAATTTAGAATCTAGTGTCTAGCATTAGGGGTTCAAATTTGAATTCAGACTTGTTAGTTGTATGACCTTGAATAAGGTCTTCCAACTTTGAATCTGTAAAAAGAGCCTAATGACAGCACTTGCTTCCTCCAATTATTGTGTAAATTAAATGAAATAATGCCAGGAGGTAATAAATATATAGGAAGGACTTAAATAAAAGTTGTTTTATTATATTTCATCTCTTCAAATTGGTGTGTCATTTACTTTAGTTAAAAAAGAAAACGGGATGCCTGGGTGGCTCAGTTGGTTAGGCGGCTGCCGTCGGCCCGGGTCATGATCCCAGGGTCCTGGGATCGAGTCCCACATCAGGCTCCTTGCTTAGCAAGGAGCCTGCTTTTCCCTCTCTCTCCCTCTGCTTGTGCTCTCTTTGTCAAATAAATAAAACCTTAAAAAAAAATAAAAAATAAATAAAAAATAAATCACTTCTTTAAAAAAGGGGGAGGGGGCGCCTGGGTGGCTCAGTCGGTTAAGCATCTGCCTTCAGCTCAGGTCATGATCTCAGAGTCCTGGGATTAAGTCCTGCATCCGGCTCCCTGCTCAGTGGCAAGCATGCTTCTCCCTCTCCCTCTGCCCCGCCCCTTGCTCCTGTTCTCTCTAACTCTCTCTCTCTCTTTTTTTTTTTTTTTTTAAGATTTTATTTATTTTTTGACAGAGAGAGAGACAGCAAGAGAGGGAACACAAGCAGGGGGAGTGGGAGAGGGAGAAGCAGGCTTCCCGCTGAGCAGTGAGCCCGATGCAGGGCTGGATCCCAGGACCCTGGGACCATGACCTGAGCTGAAGGCAGCTGCTTAACGACTCAGCCACCCAGGCACCCCTAACTCTCTCTCAAATAAATAAATAAAATCTTAAAAAAAAAAAAATCACCCAATGAATCATGGAACACTACATCAAAAACTAATGATGTAATGTATGGTGATTAACATAACATAATAAAATAAATAAATAAATAAATTTTAAAAATAAAATAAAATAAAGTCAAGCATATCAATAAAAAAATCACCTTTTCATCAGTTTTATATAAAATCTATGAGTAGATTATTTCTGATCATTGCATCTGTATTGAGTTTTATTTAATAATTACAGACAAAACTCATACTGCTGCCTTTAATAGAAATTAAATGAATATGGTAATTAAAGTGGGAATGACTTTCGCTAAGAGACACTGGAGTCAGCTTATAAATGAAATTCAGTCATAGAGACATAAAGTGGGACATTTCTTGAAAAGTATGTAAGGAATTTTACAAAATTAAGTTCTCAAACTTCTCCTGACCCTTTTTAATAAACATCTTTCAATATAGTAATTGGTTGTATCTTATGCTTCTATTCTTTAAAGATTTTATTTTATTTATTTTGGAGAGATAGTGTGCGAGCAGGGGGAGGGGCAGAGGGAGAGGGAAGGCAGACTCCTCGCTGAGCATGGAGCCCCATACAGGCAAAATCCCACAATCCCACCACCCCAAGATCACGACCCAATATCACGACCCCCAGATCAAGACCAGAGCTAAAACCAAGAGCTGGATGCTCAATTGACTGAGCCACCCAGGCACCCCATTATGTTTCTATTCTTTAAACTAGAAATCACTAAATTCAAACATGCAACTTTTGATACACTCTTCACTCTGTAATTTTTTTAAATTTATATTATTTATATTGCAGCCTTTTAATTAAGTGAACATTTCTTGCACATCAAAAATATATTAGTTATGTTTATAATAATATAACTTGCTTGCTCACATTGAAAAACTTCTTTATCATTAAATAATTTATTCACAAAGCCTTCTTAGTATATGTTATTCAATTGTTCACTCAGAGTTGAGAATATATTTTAAAAATGTTCAATTATCATCTGTTAAAAATAATTTTCTTGGGTGCCTGGGTGGCTAAGTCGGTTAAGCGACTGCCTTCGGCTCAGGTCATGATCCCAGGGTCCTGGGATCGAGTCCCACATCGGGCTCCCTGCTCAGTGGGGAGCCTGCTTCTCCCTCACCCGCTCCCCCTGCTTGTGCTCACTCTCTCTCTCTGTCAAATAAATAAATAATAATTTTCTTACTTGGGGTAATATTAAGGATAATTTCTTTTGTTTTTAATCAAGCAATTCATACATATATTATATCCATATATTATAGGCATCATTTATTTTGTATTTACTATAGGCATTATTAATATGTAAATATTTAATATTTATTAACTGCCTTTTACAGTAGTATTTTTTGTGTTAGAATCTTATAAAAAAAATTAACAAAACCCTAAAATGAATAGCATTCGTATTCAATATATTTTGTTGAATTGCTACTATGAACAAGATATTATAAAAGTAGTGAATAAGTATGGTGAGATAACCTAAAAACAGGTTATCAGACTTTCACTGTAAAGGGCAAGATACTAAATATTTTAGGCTCTGTAAGCCACTTACAGTCTCTGTCATATTATTTTTCCCCTTCTTCAACAAACATTTACAAACAGTGAAAACCTTTCTTGGCTTGGAAGCTATGTCAAAACAGGCTATGCTGGATTTGGCTCATGGCCTGTAGTTGGTTGACATTTGACCTAAAATGCTTTTAGAGTATATTACCATTAATACCACTGTGGTTTTTGAAACAAGATTTGAGTAATACCATCTGCAAATTTTCAACCACATTCAGGAACATTCATGAAAGTGACTAAAAATTGAAAATGATTACAAGTCTGCATAATTAGTCCAGAATTGTGGAAACCCAACAATTCACTAACATTATATAACAGTGAGTTATACAATAGTAACACTGCCAGAATAAGCATATAGAACACCTAAAATAGAGACAGCTGTGCATGATTTACTTTAGTTTTAGCCATAAAATTCAATATTATGTGCTGGGACTCTGAATTATGAGGCAAGGGATAAAAAGGCACAGACTTCTAGTAATGAAGTGTCAGCCACAAAAGAGAAAAATAAATGCAAATATTACATATACTTGAATAAAGACAATATTCAGTAACATAGGATGCAATTATTTGTTCATGAATCCATATTCAAAAACATTTGCACAGTTTTATTTTTAAAAACCATGCATAATGACTTCTATTTTATGTTGGAAACATTCCTCATACCCTCAAAATATATATCTCTAAAATATAAGTTTCTACTATTTGAGAGAAATTAAATTACACTATACTGATAAAATATAAACATAGTATATGTGGTTGATAATATTCCATTAATAATGTTCTGGCTAAGCCAGTTAAAAATTGCTTAGCTGTCTTTTTTTTTTAATATTGCTTTTTGATATTATTATTCTTTGGAAGATTTTTGAGAAAGTGATCATATGACATATGCATGTGTGTGCATGTGTGTGTGTATCCATTCATGTATTTTAAGAATCACTGAGTTTGAAATAGGATATTTGTTCCTAAAAGACTGTCTTTACTTTTGCCTGGAAGCTTTAGTAGTCATTATCAATCTTCTATCCTAGGGAGGGGAAAAAAAGAACTGTACTAGAACCATTTCAAGACCAATTGGCTTTATTGCCTACATACCGATTCTGCAGAATTGTTTGGGAAATGAAGCAGAAGGAAGCTGCTGAGAAAGCACAGTAGGAATCCATCTAGAAAAAAAATTAATATGAACTAAATCACATCATCTTGGTATATTACAGAGTGCCATGAAGAAGGATGAAAGAGTGACTATGTCTTAATTGAAAAAAAAAAACCAGGAGGTACATGTCTGCAATTATGAGAGCTAATTTATGTAACACACAAATAAATAATATATGATATGTTATATGTCACATTTATTACAGTAAATCATATTAAGTATTCTGATGTATACATATATAAATGCAAAATGTATATTAAAACATTAACATATATGAAATTTTCTCTTTGTGCCTTTGAAACATTTTCCAATCATTTAGCTCTGTCTTCAGGTCTGTTAATTGGAGACATTTATCTTATCGCTGGTTAAAATATGACCAGTTAACCACAGTTTAGGGTTTGAAATTCACTGGTTTAGTACTCCACTGAAACTCTAGCGGGTAGCTGCTGTGGATCAGTTGGAGCATTTCTAAAAGAAAGAGGAAATCATCTGAGAGAAGGACTTCTGTGCCCATAAAATATCCTGCAATTAGAAGCACTTCTTTTATAGAGGGATACTGAGGCACTAGAGAACTGCTGTTGAAAAAGAGGAAAAAATTGTAGTTGAGCACTTAAGCACTGAATACACATTCCCTAACTCCTGTTATTCAAGATCTGTCAGTTTATGCTCCCCATAGGTTTATTTACACAAAACATCTATCTAAACGGGAAAATAAACACATTTTACATTTTAACATGAGTTGTTCTCTTTGTTATTGTCAAATATACATTACCTAACAGCTTCATTAAGGAGATACTAAGTCAATTTTCAGGCTTCCATATCAGTGGATTCATAGAATTTCAGCATGGCCCCTGTTTGGTGAAGAAGCTGCCTTGACTAATTGTTTCCATTTACTTGTGCTGTCATTTGTTAATTATTTGAACAATACCTGCTATTTTGTTTGCTAGGATCTGTAAGGAAATACTTAAGTATTTTCCTACTCTCACGGTTTGGGTAGAAAGACATGTGAAGCACAAGAGGCTTGCTGACATAGAAGTATATGAGGAAGACATTGCAGGCATAACGAATGTATTGGTAAATTTACCTATACAGACAGTACAAACTTTAGAGAGAAAACAATGCTTTAGAATAATCTTTAAAAATTAGAAGATATTTTCCAGACATAAAAAAGGAGGAATGAAAGAAAGAGTGAAGTTTAGAAATATCAGAGGATTAACATATTTGACTATTAAGAAACCTTACATGGAGATTTTTTTTTAACCTGCTCTGATTTTTGCTTTTCTAGTAATGAAATGGCAAAAGTATTTTCCAGTAAATATAATTAGTATTAAGAAAAGAGCACAGATATTTAAATATTAAAAAGCTGTCATTAAAGTTCAGTTATCATGGAACAACAATAAAGACATTAGATATTTCTAATTCTAATCTGCTGGAACAAAATTTTGAAATAGGACATTTACATGAAGGGAGCTGAAGAGATTTAGTCCTCCAACACTGAAATGTAGCAAAACTCAAGAAGTTGCCTGTCTAATGTATTTGCAACTAAAATATTTCATTACATAAATTGTTTCATGAAAGAATGGAAAATAATTTCTCCAGTTTAAAGTAAGTGAAATATAAATTAATTATATGAAAAAAAGTTATGCTGCTCTCAAGGCAAAAATCCTCTTAACTTACAAACAGTGACAGTTGCTAGTGGCAAATCACATATCTAATAAAAAACTTACATTTTTTTTTAAAGATTTTATTTATTTATTTGAGAGAGAGAGAATGAGAGAGAGCACATGAGAGGGGGGAGGGTCAGAGGGAGAAGCAGACTCCCTGCCGAGCAGGGAGCCCGATGTGGGACTCGATCCAGGGACTCCAGGATCATGACCTGAGCCGAAGGCAGTCGCTTAACCAACTGAGCCACCCAGGCGCCCAAAAACTTACATTTTCTGATACAAGTTTTTTTTTTCACTGCTTATTCTCCACTCTGGTATAGTGAGTGAGTGGCTGAAACTTACGTCCCTCAGCTGGCAGCAGGAGGGAAGTCTAACATGTTTTTTATGTGTCTGCATATTGAAAAAAATAATTTATATAATGAAAATGGACTTCTCACTCATATCTTTACTTGCAGAAAAAAATGGAAAACTTGGCCTTAATGTATATAGACTAATCCACATAGCACATACACACCAATGAATAGAATGTTGTAAGTATGACCTTTCTTGAACTAGTGCTCCCAAATACTAAACTCTCAAATTTGGCTTTATTTAAAACAGAACAAATTTGTTCTGTTCAATACTGCATTCTCAGACTTAGCTAAAACGGCACACTTCCACAAGCATTGTATTGTATCGTCATTAGTCTGCACAGAAATACAGGGATAGCAATGATTAATAAGAGTGGGGATTGATAATGAGACAAGTATCAAGAACTGTATGATATGCAATGGTTGATATTGGCTTTATCTTTAATTTTTATCTTGAATGTGCTGAATATCCAAGACCTAGTTATATGTATTTCATCAAAATATTTTTCTCCACAATCGAAAAACATTGCCTAGAATCTTTCCAAAAATACAACAAATCCTTTAGTTAGATGCAAAAGTGTTTTTAAGTTTTGTAAGAGAGAAACACATTAAGAAACATCACTGCATATTACATAAAGTATTTATACTTCTTCATGTCCTATGCTAAGGTTTACTTTTCAAATTTATAAGGCCTCATTAAAAATTATGCCTTTAAATGCACAAGCTCCGACATGAAGATACTTTTCCCTTTTGTCTCAATAGAATCTCCTTTGTGTTTTTATAAAATTGATTTTAAAAATCTGGTATTGAAATACTATGACTTTATTTCTGAGTTAGTTCCTATCAAAGTGTCCATTTTTGTCAGATTGAAGAACTGCTATATGCAAATGGAAACAATATGTTTGAAATGAGATGACTCATTTCACTGTGTCCTCCATGTATTTTTGGAATGTGAACAGTGATGTGATAAACTACTTTTTATGTTAATTCTCATAATTCATATCCTAATTTCCACTGAAATGTCATCATTTTGTGATTTCTGTATAAAGTATGCAGTAACTTTTTTCTCTCAGAAATAAAAAATATTAAGCTAAGTAACAAATGTCACCTTCTTAGTGATGCATCACAAAATCAACACCTTATGAAACACATTTGCAATTTTGGCCTTTTCTTCCAAACCATAAATTACAACTTCATGAAACTTATTTATAATCATCATCTAAAACACAATGCTTTTTCTAAAACCCTCAAACTCAACAAATTGAGTATGCAAAGTAAAAAGTGTATAACAAGATAATTTAAATTATTAAGTATCTTACTGATTTGTGAAAAGTAATGGTTTTATATTTGGAAATGTAAAAAAAAAAAAACTGAAAACACTCAAAAGTATTTGGTGAGTAATTATCAATGAAAAATCCTAGAATAAAAGCCCTTCAAAATTGTAAGTACTTTTCTGTGCAAAATTATACAATCATCAGGCTTTGTTTTTACTTGCCTTTTCTATATTTTTAATATAGAGGCATCAATAGAAAAACACTGAACTCAGTGTCTCTCCTCCAAATAAAATATTTGCTCTAAAGGAATCTTGTAGAGATTATTTAAGCCAAATGCTCCCCAAAGAACAGTCATTTTAAGTTTTGCCTTTAAGTGTGTAATTGAAGATTATGCCTTGGGGTGGCTGGGTGGCACAGTCGGTTGAGTGTCCTACTCTTGGTTCCAGCTCAGGTTGTGAATTCAGGGCAGAGCTCCACTCAGCATGGAGTCGGCTTGAGATTCTCTCTCCCTCTCCCTCTGTCCCACCTACTGGTGCTCTCATGCTCTCTCTCTAAAAAAAAAAAAAAACAGAAAACCGATTGCTGCCTTTTACTACCAGAATAAAAAAGTATGGAAAAGATTTGCTCTGCAGCCTAAATATATTGCTATTGCCATAATTCTGTATAACAAACCCCCTGAAAAACTTGATGACTCAGCAATCATTTACTCTGCCAGGTCTGAGAGTCTATCATCTGGGGTTCACCCAATCCTCAGCGGATAATCTCTATTTCAGGCTATAGCAATGAGGCAGTTTTTATCACTGTGCATCTTTGAGTTGTTTCTACTTCACATGTCTCTTATCCTCTTCCTCATACCACCTGGCTGGCCAGAGCACATTCTCCTCAAGGTAACAGCAGAATTACAAGAGAGAACATGGCCCACTGTACAAGGGATTCTAAAGCCCCTACTTGCATCATGACTATTCACATTCCATTGACTAAAGCAAAACACATGGCTGAGCCTAAAGTCAAGGAGCAGAAAAATACACTCTGCCTTTAGTAAGAGGACTGGTAAGTTATAATATGACAAAGAGCATGGATATACAATAATGCAATTTACCATCATAGTATCGGAGGACACTGCTTCAACCTATATTTAAATTCAGTTATAATTTTGAAGACATCACTTCTTGATCATGAAGACATAGACATTATGAACAAATTTAGCAAAACATATAGGTACTCTCTATTAAAAATATTCCCTGAAATTTTAAAGTAAAGCCACTATAAAAGATGAAAGAAATTTGAGCATATTTGGTATTCCAGAGTATTATAAAATAAAAATAATAAAGATGGATGTCTCATTTAATCATCTTTCACATACAGCTTTTCAGGGGTCTATCTTAGAAATTATTACCTCAATAAAGACTAAACATTTATTATTCGAGTAGGTAAAAATTCTAATTTATGGTATCTTAACCCCCCTTTTACTAAAATAAGACTAACTCATATTTCCTTTGTCCCTTCTCAGTTCTGAAACAGTAATGTCTTGTTTCCAATTCCTCTTTTTTCCTGGATTTAGTGACCCACAGTTTCTATGTAAATCAGTTTTGAAACCTTGTTATGTATTAACACTTATCTGAGGAGCTCTTATAAAACAAAAGAAGACAAAATACAAAACACTCATGCCCACGACACTACCCCAGAAATTCTGGTTTAAACTGACTGACCCGGACTTGAGCATC